AAATTGAACTCCCCCCCCCCCTCAATATCGCTCTCTGGACTTAATTTTTGAACACGCTACTGTGAGTGTTTATTATTCGATGCACTAAATTACTACGTATTATGTATTCAAATGTAAAGACACATTATAATGTTATTAAATAATAGATGTGCTATCGCATTAGGGTTTTAAACAATTAAATAGCTATACATTTAAGAATAGAATATTTTTTTTTTCATCTGAATGATATTTCCATAAATTCGGTTCAACGGTTCTAGAGAGATGTCCTGACACTCATAACACCACCACTAGCCATTGGTTTCGCTATTGATTCTAATCAAAACTAAATATGTGTGTGTACATATATTTATTTATTATCACAATACGGGCTGAGCCCAATTTATACATAATATGATAATCTAATTAAAATTAACTATGAATAACATAACAATAGTGAAAATTACTAATTGTACTAAAAATACACATTAAAGATACACAATACTAAAGAAATAATGGATCACTATTTGCCATACGCATCATTATATATATATATATATATATATATATATATATATATATATGTAGAAGAACGACATCGTTGAAAATCGATACAGACTTCGAAAAAATAAATAAAAACGTTGTTTTCCCTCTCATTTTCTCTCTCACTCACTCTTTCTCTCTTTCTTTCTATAAATATTTGGAAACGCGCGCGGAGACCGATAGAAAAATCGACTGGTAGGGAGCGCAATCAATGCAAAGACCTTGTCTGTTCATCAGCTAAGATGGCGGCGGGCGGTCATCCGTCAGTGACTGCGTTTAAATCGTGGATAAAAATAATGCGACAAAAAAAAAAATAAAAGAAAAAGCTTCTGCTTTTTTGTTGATTTATACGATACTAGTATCCTTTAAACGTTTAATGATGAGAGAGAAACATATAATACAGTGACGGGGAGAGTAGATAGACGGATGGTTTTCGATAAAGAGAGATAGAGACAAATCTCTGACGGATACATACACACTCACACAAATACAGATGGATGAGACGATTGAGAAAACGAGACAAAGAACGTTCCTTTTAAATCCATTTGGCTACAGCGGCGGCAGTGGCAACCCTTTACAAGTATTTTATTATTGCATAACAATTAACCAAAAATCTATCAGACGGTGGCAGGAGCAGTGATTTGGCGAAACCCAAAGAGAAGATTATTAATTTATAATTCACACACGCACACTGTGTAATTTTTCGATATCTTGCGCTTGTATTATGATTATTATTATCATTACCATTGTGTATTTGTTGGGATATGTTATGACGACCATGTTAGCAACGACGACCGGTCGAGGGCGTGCGATTTATTACCATTTAATTAGGCTAGCGCGCGGAGAACTCGTCGATATGTGCGCGTAGATACCGCAGGGGGATAAACAAAATGTATAGAAAAAAAAAAAGGAAAAAATTATCGACTCGTCCGGTGTGGACGCCGAAAACGGGTTAGGGAGGCAGTGCGAGCGCGCACGGAATTTCGGCTTCAAGTATACGGTTTGATACTCGTATATATAAACACGTATATATTATAAAATTAATTAACAGCGTATGGTATTAATTACGATTATCGTTTTGCAATACATTATATTGTTTTATTATCGTGGTCGCTGGTCCGTCGTCGCGCCCGACGCGAATAAGCGCGCCCGCGATCGTGCGGTATCGCGTTCGTCGATCTTTCACCTCCGGTCTGTTGTTATTATTTATCATTTTTGGTTCCGCCGTATTGTAAATCATAACGGAACAAATCCACGCATAAATCGCACGCCAATCGTGCTCTCCGACCGCGGTTTCCAGCGTACGATCCGGATACCACACCATGTGTGTTTCCATATGTATTCACGCGCATTCCGCGGACCGTGCCCAACGGCGGTTGCAGCATGTGATTAGTAACATGGGAAACCGACAAAAAACATTATGATCAACGGTCACGCAGATTAGCACAAATTATCACGTGCCAAAATGTACGACCACCGACACGTTTTCTCTAGACCAGAGTATTTCCCAAACGTTTTTATCCTCTCTTTTGCATTTTCGAACGCAAACTAACGAAAGTATAAAAACTCACGGATAATATGGTCACGTAGCCTCCACTCAGTGGCACACGTGGGGGGGGGGTTGTACCCCCCCCCCCCGAAATTTTCTCCGAGTCTAGGTTAAAATTTACAAATTTTACAAATTTGAAATATGAAGAGCTAGTATTGAATATCTAATATCAATGATTATAGAATAATCTATTCTATTTTCAATGCTATTATTTAAGTCAAAATATATAAAGGATTTGCATAATTTTGTTAATTGTAAAATGTGTTATATTTTTACCTTGAAAATAGCGGTGGTAGTTTAACTCTGTCCATATTAACCCCTTCCGAAAATATTTTCTATATGCGTCACTGTAGTTATTATTCGTAGGCGAAAACGAGGAATAAATCTTATGAACTTGCACAAAGTACTATACATAATATTTTTGTACTGCGTAAGAACAACGATGTAATAAAACGAAACTGCATGGTTTAAATTATACGTATCCATCGTGGATCCATAAAGAAATATTTCACTTCTAGTCATTGACAGTAATAAAACATTTTTTTTGTACGCAGCATCATCTACGACGCTTTACGTTTTTTTTTCGCTATTGTAATTTGATATATTATACGCCCTATTCAGTTATTGTTGCAGTAACCCGACTACTATACATTTTGACCTTTTGGGAACTGTATTGGATAAAAAACTAACCGACGGTGACATAGGAGAAAAATTAAAAAACGTACTGCGGACGGAATCATACACACAACGTGACATAATAATCTATATTGTATATATAAAAGAATATGTACCGAATCACTTATTCATCAATGTCAAGATCACACGGTGGATCTAGAAATTTACAATTAGGGTGGTATATATCCCAAATAGTGTTAGGGTACATTTTTAAATTTTTTAAGTTTTATCAATTGATCTAAAATCACAACGTGATGTTTCAAAATCAACCTGAAGCTGTTTTACAACCATTGACCATAAGGTAAAACTTAGGTATAAGTTTGATTCGTTTCTACAACATTTAAAATTCTACTGCCTAATGATGTTTTACTATTACGTTTGAGCGATGTATACTTGAAGTTATTTGTGATGTTCCCTGTATCATCAAAGTCCAACAACGTATGTAATATAAACTAATACACAGTGGGATCTCGAGTGAAATATTATCTAGCCAGTTTTTAATAATACTAAAACTTTCCTCGGCTAATTTATATACATTTTTTATACACGGATTTTTTTAATCATCACGCAATCATCGGCAAAACAAATTATTCATCCAAATTTAACAAATTATATCACCTCGTGTAGGAACCAACTCAATACCTATGTGTATTTACCAATATCTAAATCGTAATACATATTCAATGCACCGGCGTACAGACGCGCATAATGACCAGCGTCTTTCCTTACATTTTCCGTATTTTATTCATTTTCTATCTATTATATTATATCTATCATATTCTATCATTTACTTCAACAAAATCATCCTTTCGCAGAGGGACGACGACAACGACAGCTATTGCAAGTCTTGTGCAACTCTACCGTCGTCACTTGTTTTCCCGTCCGTCCAGCCACCGCTGCAGCGGATTAAAGGTTTTCCCCGTTCGATCTTCCAACTATTCAATTTCCTATAATCGATGCAGCCGTCGAGCTTTGAAGAAAATATAAAATCCTTATAAGAGGGGAAAAATAAAACGGAATAGAACCCAATAAGAACCTACTCTAATACGATTGCATTATGTTATCGGTTACGAATAAAAATCTGTTCCGTTTATCAATCAACCGTTCTATATACGTACGTTACGTGAATACGTGGGTGCGAATAATACGTCATGTAAATGTACGAATATGCGCGCGCACTTAACGATATCGACGGGAAAACGTCAACTCGTCGACGATTTTTTTCAATAAAATTTAGTAACCTCCGTTCGGAACTTGGCGACGCACCAAAAAACATCGGGTAGATGGCGAGAAATCGTCGGGATTACCGATTTCCAACCGATAAATCGTATATTATTATTTAAAATGTTTGTGCGTTCCACCACTCGTCTTTCCCGCGCGCACGGTGAAGAGCGAAAATCTCCGTTTTTATTTTTTCCCGTTCGCGAACAATTGACTGGCGATCTGCAGTGTTTCTTCGAAAAAATGCATTTCTAAATGTTTTTTTTTTCGTTATAAAAAACTGCAATTAAAAATAAATTACAAAATCGTAGAACATAAACACTTTATAGTTTAATGAAGAATAAACGTAATCCTCACAGACTCGCCGTCACTATATTGCCCTACGCCCTGCACTAAATTCCTAAGTTTTCCTTCTTAAAAATTCCCTAAATTCCTAGGGAGGAAAATCCTAATTCCCTGTGGATGAATTAACCTCGCACTATGTAACGTGTACAACATGAAACCGTACACGCTATTCGCTCGTCGTCTACAATACATTTTCGTTCTTGGTGCACAAACGTTTACGTTCTAACGTAACAAATGTACGGATCATTTGTTAGTTGATCGCGAGCGTTTTCTAAACCGCTTCCGCGTGATTCGAAATCCAAACGGTTATCGGACGATACACGATACGCGCGAAACGGACCGATTGCGTCCGCGATGAAAATCGTAATTCATTCGTAATTACACGTTCGTGCGCGTACTGTAGGCGTAATAGGTGCAATACTACAGTTTATACGAGTTTAACACGATCGTTTCTTTTTAAATTAAAACTGTCCGCGCGTTTTCTCGCCAACGCTGAACCAATCCGCGTCAACCGTTTTTGTTATTAAGAAAAAAAAAAAATAAAAAAAAAAACAGTAAAAATAAAATGTACCACGAGACGGTCCCGCGCACGATCGCCCGCCCGCGACCAACATTATTTACACGCAAACACATGGCGCGTAACAGTCACGTGTTTTAATTAAACTTAATTGTTTTTCATTTTCTCTTTCAGAACGAGTTCGAGACAACATCACGGCGGACGCGCACTGAAAACGCGTTACAGGTAAACGGTACCACCATACACCGTACTACATTACATTATATATTATACCGTATGCCGTAAACGTACTCTATCGAACGGGGGGCACCGCGCGGACACCGAAAGTTAATTTAATCAAACGGTTCGCCACGGTGCGTTTACGTTATTTATGTATGCATCGTTAAAGGTGCGTTTTAACGCGCGCACGGTGTTGGTCGTGACGTGCGCACGTCTCGTGCCCTCCCCCGCGAACGGATGTCGACACTTGTCCGCGAAACGGTTACGCGAACGCGCCCGCTGGACACCCAGCAACACACGCTCGTGTCACGGCCCGTTGCGCTCGGCGGGCAAACGCCGACACGTCGCGCACGTTCTCGCGATACGCCACTCGTCCAGTCTAACCCTTTAACGTTCAGCATTTGCTTCTCCCCCCCCCCCCCCGTTTACTTGTATGTGTTACGCAGAGCAGAGGTGAACTCCGTTCAGAATAAACGACATTCTTTTGAAACCCAACGGCGATATTGAAATATGATATTTATTTGAATTAACAATAATTTACGTATAAACGTATAAGAATAATAAGCTTAGATATTTACTTCTAGGGCCTTCGCTAACTTTTACGAGGCTCTGACCAAAACTTATTTTATCATCAACTAATTGCGTTGAACATAATTGTACAATCTCCGACAGTTATTTTGAAGTTAATTTCGATTTTTCCAATTTTTTTATGTATTTTACAAATTAAATAAAGGTCAAATCAGTTTTTGCTGATTTAATTTTTATTATATCTGAACATTTTTTAATGCTAGCAGATTAGTCTAATCTTGTTATAACAGCTTTTTAAACCTTCAAAATGTGATGCATTAAAAACAATAGCTTCAAGTCAAGTACCCCATATTGTTAAGACAGGTTCTGGAAGCAATGGTATGTTTTGCATTATGTCTCTATAAACTTCCACTCTTGAAGAAGCTTTCAGAAATATTTTATTTTTAACTTATATTTTAATTTATTAACTGATATCCAGATTTAAGAATTATCTACCTTATCCTGAATTTGAGTTATAACATTTTGATAACAAAGTTCAAGATAAGTTTTGCAAAGAGTACTCTCACCAAGAATATGATTCTTTGTGTATTTTCTAAAAACTTACGAAATTCTGTATTTTGTAATTTTTCCTTGATGTTTTAGCAATGACCAAAGTGAGGTACAAGTCTTGATTGAAAGCGTTTATTTTTGAAGTAGTAGCTTAAGAAAAAAATACCGGCTTAGATGAATTTGATTTTCGTTTTATACTATTTTGATGAACATTGGTTTTGACTTGCTGCACTAGTTGTGATTTTTTAATACATGGTATTTGACGGTCACAAAACTGGCAATATATCACAGTACCATCGCTCGTAAAAACTTCTCCATCTGTTTTAAAAGATTCGATCCAGTGTCTAAAAAAACTATTTATTTCAGATCGTTGTTTTAGCATTTTAATAAATTAAAATTAGTAAATGATAAATAAAAACACAACAGTTAGAAAATATTATTGTTTGTGGTTTGAAACCGAGGATGGTCTTTTTTTTTTTTATTCGCGATTTAAGTATTGCACGGTTTGTAATCGATCGCATATTTTAATTGTAAAACGATCTGTCCGTATCATCACAAACAGTTTATTCTAATGACGTTTTCAGAATTAAAACCTAGAACGACTTCTTCATACATATTGTTTTATATATTACGCATACACTGCGTAAAAACATTTTATATCCTCTTCCCAGAAATAAACGGGAACTCTTAATACTATGTAGTTTAATATCTATACAGACATTTTTTTTTAAATAAAGTGAACGCTTGCGAATACACAGAAATGCTATGAAAAATTTAGGTTACATATCGTAAATAACAAAAATTTCGATAAGTATACACCTGGAGATGCACGTGTGTGTAATCGTGTATTTTTATGGCCGACATTTCGCCTCTGGATGGTGTCCGCAGGCTTAGTTTGAAAAATAAAAAACAGAAATTATACTATAATTAGCAGACTTTATTGGTAGTTTGTGCGTATAAAATTTTATAAATAACACGATACACGAGCAGTGAGTTATTTGAAACATATTATACCTCATAAAATAAATTATAAATAAATGCGTGATAATATATAAATGGTTCCTTTGATGCGGAATAGTTAATATGTTTTTACAGAATAAATGAAAAACAAACATTATAATTCTATTGCAGTTATTTCAGCGTCGTGTTAAGATTTCTAAATAATTTTTATTAATTTTTCATTTTTAATCTGGTGACTCCAAATAACATCAACAGACATTATTCATAACGGTAAAATAAATATTTTAAGGCAGCGAAGAAAAAACAATAATTTATGATTTTTAAAATGCTCAATTAACTAAAGGGGTTTTAAATTATTTGAATATTATTATATTGTTCTTAGAGTTGGCGTAAATACAATTTGACGTTTCCAAAACTTTATTAACAAGTTATGTTTTGAATTCAATAACAAATAAATGTATTCAGTGCACGAAAAAAACAAGTTTTTAGCGAACACTCGTTCTGTCTCTATTCCTCTCGTGAACACACACACACACACACACACACACACATACACCGACGTAGGTAACATTAAACATATATTATTGTTTTTGCGAGCTAACTTATTAACAATATTGACATCAGCGATTTTTCGTAAACTTAAATTCATGTTTCGGAAACAGGAAACGCTGGATCTATAAAAAAATATTGTGGATCAAACGCTTCGGTTGGTCGGTATACTTTTTCTTCGAATGTCGTTCAAAATTCACACGGTGTTATTACTGTTGCGGGTGTTTTGATGCCGTAGTGATGAATGCTTAATTTGTTGGATAAAAACGTGCGACCCTACGGTTGGTTTCGTATGATCGCATACCTATTAATGTACGAGTATATGAATTACAAAAAAAAAAAAAAAAATTAGTAAACATAAGCAACGCGCAAGTATAGTGGATATCAGGTACGCCGAGATACGTGTTTCAATTACATACGTGTGCATATATTATCCGATCATCAGACATCATCAGTACCTCCTCAGCCCCCAAGCCACCGTAACATCTAGCCGCACCTACGTCTACCGTAATTATACGTGCATTTCGTTGCAAATCTGATATTGTGCTTGAATCCGCGATGATTTATACATTGTAGTGTCGATCAACATTAGATTTTTCTTCGCTACCCAATTATCAGCGAGTTCCTTTATTACGCACTTAGTACATACTTCACTGCACTGGCTATCGTTATTAAAGTGACATTTTTACATTAGTTTAAAAATTATTACCGAACAATTACGTCGAACCGCTGTGTATCATAACCGGCAATATTTTATGCAAAGTTCGTACGTAGTCGTGTAATAAATCATAAAAAAAATATAGATCAGTAATTGAAAAAATGTGTACGCATATGCGTATTGTACACTACATAGGATACGTATGGTGATATTAAAATGTTTTTTTCGCAGTAGACGGTGAAATTATAATTTTTTTTTTCTTTTAATTGCTTTGTCGAAATTCTCAGGAAATTCTTTAGGTTTTGTATCTGATTTTGCGTACTGGACGTATATGAGAATAATTCACTCTACGCAATATGTATATGATATATGTTGTAAGATAAATGAAACCGTATAATCATAGGAAAGTTAAATAAGAAAATTAAGTTTTGAAAAATATTCAAAACATGACATTGTTTATAAATTAAAAAAAAACAATTATTATAACAATATTAATGTAAAAATATAATGTATATTTTTTATACTTTTAGGGTAGGCAATTTATTCAAAATGTTATGGTATTTTTAAAATTTCTATTCATCTAATCCATTTTTTAAGGATATTTTCTTGAATAATACAACTGTTCGTGTCTAATTTATTATTAGTATTATTAAAATTTACTTAAATATAAATGTATACCTTCCGCCGTACGTTGTACCTACCTAAAGCGCAAGATTTAACAAATTAAAAGGCATTTACATATAATTATTTCGTAATGCGTTGACGGTAGTTTTTGGGTAGATCTATTCTGGGTAAAATGAGCTGTTTTTACCGAACAAACCAAAGTTATTTTTCGCATTATGTAACACGATTTTATCATTGCCCGAAAGGATACGTTTATGTAATTTTTTGGTAAGTACCCAAATTCGGAGAATATACATGCCAATAGCCAAAACTTAAACAACGGAATGTCTATTTGACGTACAATGAATTACGTTTACATCCTGGAAAAAATAATTTAAATATTAAATATAATAAAAAATAAATAATAATTTAATAACATTGTGAACGTCGAAAATAATATATCAGAATGGGTGAGCTGAAATGTGCAAGTTGTTTTCACTTTCCACAAATTAATAACAAAATTGTATGCAGATAATCGAACATCAATGAAATTATATGAAACATCAATCAATAAAAGAACATTTTCGGATTATTTTCTATAGGTTGAGCAGCAGTTTTAACAGGATCGTACTATTCTATAAAATGTTCATTTAAAATGTATTTATTATGCACAAGTGCAATTTTTTTAAATTATCGCGGTAGCAATAGTTGTCAATTGACAATAGCTTTCCTCTTAATACAATAATATTAAGTTTTATAAAGTGCAAGTAAAAAAAAATATTTAACACTAATACGTCAAAAAACATTTGTTTAATATTTAATTTGTTACTTAACGTGTTGAACTATCAATAAGATATAGATTTACGTTATATAAATATAAAATATCGATTATTTTGATTTCTCCAAATTTTCTACAAAATCCAAAAATTCAAGAAACGCTCATTAATAATATAAAAAAGCAATTTATTTCAAAACATTTAAAATTGTATTTAAAATTAAAAATTAAATTTTTAGTTATTTAAGTTAATGACCTAAAAAATAATAATCCATTTTATCAAACATCGGAGTGTCGTATTCTACTTTTCTCGCGGAACACTCTGTACAATGTGCAATATTCACATATTAATAATAATAATAATAATAATAATAATAATAATATGTATAATAAGATATATATTGATATTATATATGATTATACGACTTTGCGGTTCATAATCGGTATGGCGCTGTTACTGACCCGTCACGTTTGCGCAATCGAGATTGGGATTATCAGCTTTATCGCCTCGGTATATAGTAATTATTTTATCATTTCATATACACACCTGTTAAGTGCAAACCTCTTAAGTCTTATTATTATCATAACTATTATCAAATTACAGTATAATATATGTGTGTGTGTGTGTGTGTGTGTGTGTGTGTGTGTATCGGTTCGATCATATCCTCCACAACATATATACCGCTAAATTTAAATCCTAGTTTGGTGCGGTTTCGCAATTTTGTTTGATAAGTCTTTGCAGCCGATTTCTACTGGATTTTTATAACACACCTCATTATAGTACAGCCAGTCTGAATATAAGTATACCATACTTTGCTAGAGACTTATAGGAAATCGACGGCTCTGTATTGGTTGTATTACGTTTATGATAACATTATAAAATTATCAATATTCAATATTTTCAATTTTTTTTTTTTTTTTGTTAACACTGTTGTTCAAATTAATTGGATTATTTTTTTTATATTTATTTAATAAAATTATATATTTAACCTCAGATAAAAACGTAACTATCAAAAAGACAATGTTTTTATAGTTAATACTTATAAATATTAAATATTTATTACTATCAATTTTAAAACTGACCATATACCTTTAAAAATTATTTGAGTTTAAATTTGAAGAACTCATAATTTAATTTATAATATTAAAATTGACTGGAAATATTATTATATTAAAAATAAATTCATTATCATTAAAATGTTTCTGTGTAAAACTCTGCCAATCCTACTTAACCGTAGAAACAAAATAAAACTGTTAATACAACTTAATATAATAATTACAAATAACTTACAAAAGATGTTCTTGTGTTAATTTCTTCCTCTTTTTCAACTATTTAAATCGGGACATTCTTTAAAGTGTTCCAAATTGGTAATGAATTATGTGTAAGTATATATTGTATTTTCAAATGAATTTAAAAAATAAAAAATGAGAGCATTGAATGTTGATAATTTCATAATATTATCATAAGAGTAATTCACCCAATGAGAACCGTCGATTTCCAATGGGGATCTCAAGTATATTTGTATGCAGCCGGATTTACCTAAACTAATCTCTATTTGATGAACTTTTATTTAAGAAATCTTTGCATTCAACAATTTTTCATGGACTCAAGTGATTTCCGAATAATTTCTATTAGACAAATTAATTTAAAATTATTAATTTATAATTTTGTAATAATATTTATACTTCAGAGTTATGTATTTATATAAAACTTCGGTTTTCATTCGAGTAAGATTTATCAGAAGTGCATTTCGAAAAATATTTTGATAATTTTTTCCATCTCTAAGAAACGATGATTATGATATACGACGATCAGTGTTCAGTGAAGATTTTAAATCTCAGTGATTATTATAGTTTTGAGCTAAAGCGGAAAAAAAATTATGTTTCGTCGAAAACACGGTGTCACGTAAACGCAGCAATTTTATATATTTTTTAAAATTTTTGTCAGTATTTATAAAAATCTGAATTTCTGCTAGACCACTTGGATCATAAATAGTACAATGTTATTACTGCAAGTCATGCTATACCATTGAAACCAATGTGATGAAGACAATAACCGTGGTATGCGTTTACAACACATATTGCTATAGGCAAATTGTCTACAGCGGGATCGAAGTTTTTGTGGAAATGTATGCTTTACGTTATTATAATATGAAAAGAAACAACGGCAGACATACTATTATGGTTTCGCGAAATGTGTCTAAAACGGAATGTTATGGGACCGAGACAGATTTCCGTTTTATTTAACACGCACAAATGCACATATTTTTCTCGCCGGAACCGTACGAAATATTTCCGTTTCGTACCGAGTTCGTTATTCAGACCGATTTCACTCCGCCGTCCATTGTGCAACTGTACACATTTGTGAACGTATAGCACTTCTTTAATACAATCGTGTACAACAGCGTACTCGTACCATATGTGTGTGTGTGTAAATAACCAATTTAACTTACCAAAAAGTAACAAACGTTATACGTACAAAATGTCATCATAATATAGACGGTATACAGATTCAAAAAAACGTTGAGGGAATTAGGATTTTTCTTCCGAATGTCGACAAAAACAAATCATCTGGCAAATCGATTAATTTCTGAAAAAGTGATACAATAGAAAACTGATCACGTTCGTAACATTATCAAACGACGGCGCGTCTTTACCGGAATTATTTTTTAATTTACCATTTTGATGCAAAGTAGACGTATCGTGCGGTGCGCATTAAATTGTACATACAACGGACGGTCAAAAAATATACGGCGATACAGGAATTGAAAAATAGATTGTCGGACGACTTTTATCGCCCTGAAAAAACATTTAACCTGAGTCCTGTGCGCATAGCTGTTTTCAGACACTATGAACTTCCAATGTACTGTAGTAAGTTTTCGCGGCTGTAGTAGCGTAAAATAATTTTAACTTGAGTCGTCATTATATTTATATTGTCTTCCTGGTCGTATACGCGCAAACCATGTGCGTGGACATTATTAATACGTATGTTTTCAAAGTAATATATTTTGTGAATTTGGAAAATTACGTGGTTCGTTACGAATGGTCAGGCTGTATATCACGAGGAGTTTTTGTTCCAAGCGGATTTTCACAGATAAAACTGTTTTTTTTTCGTTTTCGTTTTTGTATTAGTTTCTTTTTAATAGTCCTTTGATTCTAAAGTAATTCTTAAGCAAATTAAATGAATATATCGAGGTACGAATGGTATAAACTAATATTCAACAAGAGCTGGTTAGATTTTGGATGGGAATGGTAACTAGTTTGCTCCTTGATTACAACATCTTCAAGCTGCCACTACGGTTCGTTGTCTTCCGATGTTAGTTGTGCCACTCCATTATTTACGAGCAAATAATCTAAAAAAGATCTGAACGCGATAGCATAACGTCGTACCAATGATCATTGACGACAATAGAAGTTATTAGTAGATTCTTTAAACACACTGTATTCGAATACACCTGGTGGTACACGTTTAACACGATTACGAAATTGCCAAGTCGTACATACGTATTCTTTCGTGGATATTACAGCTGCAACGGTATTGTTGTCCGAATGACGTGCACGGCACAAAATATAAATATGTTAAACTGATCAAAGCGCATTACGATATTATGATCTGACGTTGTACCACAATTCTATCTATCTGAATAGTATTCTCCCATGTACATCAAATTGTTTCATCAATAGTATTCTAACGGAGGAGCATGGTTTCCATCCAGGGCATTCCATTACAACTTGTAACTTTATTTCTGCAATTTTATATTCGAAGCTTATCATAATTGGTCTCAAGTAGACATAACCCATAAAGGTTTTAATAAAGCGTTTAGCACGATTAACCATAACGCCATTACAGGCGTCATTAAGGAGTCAATATAGCAAATCCTATCTTAAAGACAAATACCAATGATTAAAGGTTTTTGGATTCGAATCTAATATATTTTCGGGCACGTCTGATGTTCCCCAGGAAGGCCATCTCTCTCCTTTATTATTGTCTCTATTTATATTTATAAATAGTATTCATCGTCAATTATTATCATCTTATTTACTACGTGGACGATTTTAATCTTTATACTCGTGTACATACAACTGAAAATTGTCTTCAAATTTGAGATGGTCTATATAGATTTTCCAATTGGTTTGGGTGGTAAAGTTTAAAATTAAACTTTAATATTTCTCATGTCTATTCATGAAAAAGAATTATTGTTCTGTAAGTACTTATGTAAGCTTTATTTTTCTTTTATTTCCCTATTACTGTAGAGCATTATAACTAAACTATTTTCAATGTACTAATTTAATTAAGGACAACGATGTATATCGTTAAATAGATAATTATATTTTTACATGCATATTGTAATATTTATATCAAATTTATGAAACATTATTTTAAATTAAATATAAATCAATTTCCGTATTCTTGTTAATTTCATCGTGTTAACCGAAAGCGGCATCTAGGTCACATTTCAATAGCCCGCTGTTTAGTTTGTTTTCATATTGTACCATCACAATTTACTATTATATTTTAACTCATCCCGTCATCCAAATCCATATCCAACGATCCTTCCGATCCGCTGTCTGTGTAAATTGGCTTGTCATCATTTTTATCTAGATCATCGTCCTCGTCTGTTTCATCATCATCAAAATCGTCCAAATCTATGAATTCCACCATCCTATCGTCTATTTCAAGCGTTTCGTCTATCTCTTCTAGTCCGCAATTACCATTATCGTCCACCTCCATCGGCTCTGAATAATCCTCGTCATCCACCTCCATAGGTTCTGTCTCATCTTCTTCGTCTATTTCCATAGGTTCTGTCTCGTCTTCTTCGTCCACTTCCATAGGTTCTGATCTGTCTTCTTCGTCCACTTCCATAGGTTCTGATCTGTCTTCTTCGTCCACTTCCATAGGTTCTGATCTGTCTTCTTCGTCCACTTTCATAGGGCATTTAAACAAGGACTGCCAGTCGTACGGACGAGGCTGACAGCAGGGCGCATTGTACGAATGAGACCGAGAGTGGGGCACGTCGTACGGACGAGGCCGAAAGCAGGGCGCGTCGTATGAAATCCAGGCATCCGGCGAACTTCTGTGAAAAGATACAATAGAACAAAAAAATTATTAGAACGTTAGTCGAGAGAACGCCGAGTGAGTTATTTGCAATCGCGAACATGGGTTCATTAAACCAAATTAACAGTTACTTACCCGAACAACGGCATCACGTACTCTGCACTCGGTGCCTGGGTTGGAGTGAGGTACTGAACTCAATATCCACCAGCAATATTAATACCAAAAATATAGCAAAAAGAAAAATTTACAGGAACGAAAAAGTACAATCATGAATCGATCACGGCTTGTGCAACGAGTGAATCGTTGCGTACAAAACAATACATCGATAACCGTTTTTCCACAGTTACCATAATTACACGAAATAAATAAACCCATGCAGAGTATTTTGCGAGTGGCCACGTGTTGCCGAAGCACGCTTTTAATTCTCTTTAAAATTTTTTGGAATATTTTAAGATAAAAATTAATTGGTTTTTAATGTCTTAGTGCCTATTAGTGCTCTGCACGGTCGGTTATTTTAAGGACCAGACCGGACTACAAATTTTATAAGGGGACCGAAGTCGGACTGGATCACACTTAAACGTTAATCAAAGACCGAAATTGGACCGAACCAACGGCTTTATATTATTTTTAGACCGGACCGGACCAGTAATTCAATAGCATTTAATAAAGTAGACCGGTCTGTCGGTCCGAACTTATAACATTTTGGACCGTCTATGGACCTTTCCGCAAGGTTCAATTTATATTAGCCCAAACCGTACCATATGATGCATTTAGTATTACACTGGACCGGACTACTCGACATGATAAATAAATATGTGCATGGCCGTTTTCGATCAAAAATGTACCCTTCCCTTTTCGGCCAATTCACTTTTCGATCAAATTTAAAATAGGCCCATTCTCTTTTCGACCAGAACAAAAATTTATATAATACATTTAAAACAATGATGTACAAATGTTGTCAATAATTATTTAAATATTAATAAAAAAGAGAACGATATTTTGTATTTAGTTTTGATCTCTTATCGTAATGAAAATTGTTTACATTTTTTTTAAAAAAATCGGAACTTTTATTTTAAAAATCTTAGGACTTCGCTCGTTACGTCTGCCGGCTGCATTCACAAAGTCGAGTGCTTCTGCGTGGCACTTTTCGGGGGGATGGGGATTCGCCCCAAGAGGAATTATAGTTTAAGCTTAACCTAGTTTTTATACAAACCTTGATACTGTTGCAAGTGGGATTATGTTCTGTATGTGAATCTAAAACCTCGCTACGCTAGTAAAACCCTTAATCGTCATTAATATATTAGGTATATATATATATATATAGTAGGTAGTTTCCATCATAATCAAATATTGTATAACATTATTTTATTATTTTAAATGTATAGTATAAATTTTTGATTTGATCGAAAAGGGAATCGGCCTATTTTAAATTTGGTCGAAAATGAACTCGCCCATAAATATATACCTAAAGTTGTAGGTTTTTTCATTTTATTTGTTTACATAACAATACCTGTACACAATATCTGTATTTAAATTTTAAGTACCATGATTGAGACCGGCTGGACTGATTTTCATTTATTTTTTTTGAAACCGGACCGGACTGAAAATAATGCATTTGATCTGAGGACTGGACCGAACTACACTTAAAAATTATTCATCCGGATCAAACCGACGATTCAATAATTTTTGTATGTTAGGATCGTACTAGACCGGACCGGATTGATTAAAACCGGATGTGATTATATATACCCCTACACACATTTTATATAATTTTTCAAGAAGGATAATATTTATTATCAATGAATTTTTGTCAACTTTGAACAATATTATCATGAAAATAAAAATTGCAGAGAAATTGCTATGAAAAATCTTAAAATCTTTAAATTTTTTGATTGACGAATGAAAATGGTTACAAACTAATGCTGTCACCCTTTAATTCCGAAAAAATTTGCTACCCATGAATACGTTCCAGCTCAATCAATTTCTGTAGGCTGTAATCGTAGCCCGGAACAGAAGCGTGCCAAAAGATTATTGATTTTCCGTTGCAATCCATGCGAGCACGTGAATGTCTATGACCATCGAAATCGACTAACTATAGAAATACAATAACTCAGTAGACCTCACTCGGTATTGTCAACACGATAAGTTTGAAACTCTCCAGGAACGCCATGTCTTTATTGTATCTGTACGCGATGACACAATATCGTGCCAATCATTGATGATCATTGAAGATAATAGAAGTTACGAGTAGATCTTTTAAACATACGTCATACGATTACGAAATTGCCAAGTCGTACATACGTGTCCTTTCGTGGATATTTTAGCTGCAACGGTATCGTTGTCTGAATGACGTGCACGGCACGTAAATACGTTAAAAGCAGTTTCTTGTTTACGAAACTCGATTTCACCATACTTTTAAAAGCTCCGAAATAAAATATTATAGTCGTAATCGATTAATAAAAATTATAGTTTAGAACGCGTTAAACCAAACGCATTTTTAACGAAAATAAGTGTTGTGTAAAAATGGTTTCGTAAATAGATGTCCGATTGCATATTATTTACAATGTACTGCCCAATAACGTATCGTGTCTCGGGGGTATCCGTCACTTGTTATAATAACATATACCTATACGTATGCATATTATATACTAATAAATACTTGGGTAAAGTGTGAAGACACGCATATGTAACGACGGGATCTCACGACAACGTCTGGAGGCTACTAGTGTACATGCATTAGTGCATGTGTGCACGGGAAAAATATTCAACTCACCGTAGCCGCGCGACGGTTCGGCTGCAGTATCGAAGGAGTTTCAGGTTGTCTGTCAAAATTTCGAAGGAGCAAAAAAAAAAAAAATAAAATAATTATACTAGAAAAATATGTGTACAAATGAAACACGTGTGTGCGATTGACGGGGGCCGGTTCGCGGGATTTTATTGCGCTATGTAATTACCACTGTCGCCGACGACGTATATGAGCTCCACAGTGGGTGTAAATATAAATTATGTACCTGTATAATATCCATACTGTACACTGAACTGCGTGCGGGCGGATGGGCAAACGTCGAATAACAGATTGAATACTCTGGGAGAGAGAACAACCTCCAACGGCGGTTAGGTTAGGTGGTCACGTTCTCGGTGTCGGACAACACCTCTGGAGGCTAGTGTATGTAATACAATAACGACCAGTATTAACGGTCGCGGATAATATTCGTGAGGAAAGAAAGAAATTAAAATATTAAAACAATAATAACTTAAAGTAACGATATCGTAAAACATTTATAATTACTGTAATGCTTATACTTACTTCTGTCTTACTGTGCGTAATAATTACTGTAGTGTCGCGTAATTTGCAGGACCTGTCTTTCACTCCTCTACGTACTTTGTGTCGCCCTACCCATCATAAAACTAATATTTTTCAATTACGATTCAAATCGATTCACAAACAGTATTGTCAGTGTTGTACATAGATAACCAAAATATTATTTTACAAACCAATGAATTGTTTAAAGATTATACCCAGCTCCATGGACAATAACGTAATGTATAAGTTCGTGTTCACGGGAACAGGAACGGGAACCCCGTGCATCTTGAACCGAGGGAGATCGCAACCGCTTTGGCATCATTTGTGGTTCCACGTCCGCGGATACAGTCAGGGCCAAGCTCAGTAAAAACGGACATGAGCCTGGTACAAATGCCGTCGCCCCCGTGTGCCCGTGCTCTACACCTACTCGTGGCTAATCCGAACACCGTACCCGAATAAACCGCATCGTTTTACCGTTCCGTGACGGGTCGCGAATACGTGGGATTATGATTATTATGGATTATTTTCGTCTAACTATGAATAATTTACGATAACATATATCGTAAATTATTCATAGTTAGACGTCGCGGTAGTTTTGAGTTCGTAAGGTTTCGCACCGCGAAAACGCCACGCGCCACAATGTTGGAATCGATTTTGATTCGCCGCGCGCGCCTGCCACCGAACACCCGATCACGGATTTCCTCGTCCGTAATACTTCTGGTTGGGGTTCAAGATCGCGTCCGGCACACGACGTTATTACGCCGTAAACTATGTTTTTCGTTACCCGTCGATGATTCCCGAGACGAACGTTTTCCAATCTTGTACTTCGCCATCGGTTGTCGGCACGAGTTCCGAAGACAAACGTGGCCGACAGCAGGGGTCAACCTGCGTGACACGTGCTCCGGTATCGAACGTTCACACGTGTTCATCCCTCATAGGTACGTAAACGATTTTACACACGCGCGCACACACTTGTATATAGCGGCATATTTGTGGGGGGAGGGGGTGACAGGTAACTTTGAGAGGGCCAAAGGTATCATTTTGTCCCCTTCCAGATTATCCAACAATACAAATATTTGAATTATCATAAGTTAAGAAATAATATAATATAGTATTTAACATATTATAAAATAACTAAGGGGGCTTAGGATTTTGATCATGGTTAAAATATGGTTTTCCCCCCTAGATTTTTTTCTATTTACGCACACACTTGTATTTATATAAGTACAGATTTTATACGTCGAAACCGCTAAAGCACCCGAAATAAAATAAATGTATTTCACACATTATGTATTTTCTCCGAGTACGTTACTCAGCCGTTTTTCCGGTGTCATTTCGAAGTAAATGCAGTTATAGCAAGTGCAGACACGAAATGTACCACCGTGCATGACGAATTTTTTCACAAAATTATTTTACAAGTCCGTTACCGTACAGATGACGTGTGGGCACATATAGAGTATTAAACTGTATTATTATAAACACATTTTTGCTGTAAAAAACATTACGAACTTTGTAATAAAACACGTGAAATGTTTGAAACACAAACGCGACTAAGTTAAAAACAAGCGGTATGCACTTAACACGCGTAATTATTGTCGGAGACGGCCAAAAATTGTAACCATCACGAATTGAAAAATATATTATTATATAACATACGAATACATTTTTGACACAATCATAATGACGTAGAGAAAATTTAATAATAAATAGATTTTCGAGTTGTAGATAGAGATATAGGTACCTAATATAGGTACACCTCATAATGCGTTTACTAACGAGTCGACGTCATTCAATTTAACATGTTTAAAAGGTATTTTCTAGTAAAGTAGTGTTCATTGTATAAAA